CCCAAAAAGTGCAAACAGGGAATGGAGGAGAGCAGCCTGGGAGGGTGGGACTGCATCACCTGGAGCTGGAATTGGACAATGAACCCCAACATGGAAATGGACCCAAACTCATAAAAGTGTCAAAACTCGTGACCAGGAGTCCACCTGGGGTGGAGCCACGGCCAGGCTCTGGCACCCAAGGTGCATCCTGTGAAGGCCTTTCCATAAATCCCTATTCCTTTAGCACTGTAGCCCCTGAGGGCAGCGGGGCAGACTCACCTCAGCACGTGCGTGGAGCCGTTGATGGTGGTGGTGGAGCAGGGCACGGTCTGGCCCAGGATGGAAGGCCTTCGGTAGCGCTCGTCGCCGCAGCACAGGATGATGAGGAAGGCACGTCTGAAAGCCTTGTTGAGGAAGGCGTAGAGGAAAGGGTTCAAGCCCGAGTTGATGTAGCCCAGCCACAGGAAGGCCGTCCACAGCTTGCCGGGCACCGTGTAGTTAATGAAGGGATCCACGATGTTGGTGACGAAGAAGGGGGCCCAGCAGAGGCAGAAGCAGCCCATGATGATGCACAGGGTCTTGGCGGCTTTGGTCTCGGTTTTCATGCGGTGGGTGCTGTGCTGGTCGGGGGGGTTCTGCCGTGGCTCCTGGTGGCCCTGCCGTGGCTCCTGGTGGCCCTGCCGGGGTTCCTGGTGGCCCTGCCGGAGTTCCTGGTGGCCCTGCCGGGGTTCCTGGTGGCCCTGCCATGGCTCCTGGTGGCCCTGCCGGGGTTCCTGGTGGCCCTGCCGGGGCTCCTGGTGGCCCTGCCGTGGCTCCTGGTGGCCCTGCCGGGTTTCGGCCGGGTTCCCCGCGCGCTGCAGCAGGCGGATCTGCCGCGCGTGCGCCCGCGCCGTCACGTAGATGCGGTGGTAGGCCAGCACCATCAGCAGGAAGGGGATGTAGAAGGCCACCACGGAGCAGGTGATGGCGTAGGGCTTGTTCACCATGAAGATGCAGTAGGTGGAGTTGGAGGCCTTGTTGAACTGTCTCTGCTGGATCTGGGGTGGGAGGGGAGAAGGAATCAGAGAACGGGTTGGGCTGGGAGGTGTCAGCTGCACGCTCATGATCTCAGTGCAATCAGCCAGCTTAGGAAGCTTTCTCTACGGCCTCAGGTCAAATGTAGTGCTCTCTTGGGAGTCAGAATCTGTCAGCACAGAAAGTCTAAAATTCTCAGCATTCAGGACTCCAGCAGGGAGGGACCTTAAAAATCATCTTGTGTCACCCCCTGTCATGGGCAGGGACACCTTCCACTAGACCAGGTTGCTCCAAGACCCATCCAGCCATCCTTGGACACTTGGACACATCCACAACCTCCCTGGGCAGCCTGTGCCAGGGCCTCCCCACCCCCCAGGGAAGGAGTTTGTCCTAATATCCATCTAACCCTGCCCTCTGGCAGTGTGCAGCCACTCCCTTGTCCTGGCACTACCAGCTCCTGCTCATTTCTAAAGAGAATAATCCTCCCCATTATTTAAGTGAGAGCTGCAAAGGCCAAGGGGACCATGGACTCCTGAGGTGTTGTCAGGGCCAGCTGGGGTTTGGCCTTTTTTCCAAGGACTCCTCACTGAACTGAGAGTGAATGTGGCTAAAATCCTCTCCCAGGCCACCCCATCCTGTGTCAGTCCTTCCAGGACAGAGCCACCTCAACCCCCCTTAAAGAAATTCAGCAGCCCCTCTGCACTGGCAACAAGAAGTTTCTCCTTCTTTTTCCCTTTCCCCGAAAATTGCTTTTTAGAGAACATCCAGCACTCATCCAGCACATTGGATTGGTGTCCCAGCTTGGCTACTCACCAGATCAATGATGCCAATGCTATTCCAGCCCTGCATGATGGGGAGGAAGGAAATGAAGGTTGGGATGATCCAGCAGCCCCCCAGCATCAGCGCGATGCGCAGCGGGGTCATCTTGTTCCTGTACACCAGGGGCTGGCAGCAGATGGCATAGTACCTGCAGGGCAAAAATGTCATCAAGCAGATGGTTCTCAGCTTCTTCATGCAGCAAAGCCAGTTCTTTATTCACATATCTCATTTTTCTGTAGTTTTCACAGACTTTGTGTGCAGCTCCAGGTGGCTGGGAGTTTTCCTGCCACTCAGTTCATTGGTTCGAAGGTGTTTGTGTGTGTAGCTGTTAAGACTTTTTGTATTCACAGGTGTATATATTTTTGGATTCTCATGGGACAGATCTTTTGTTATTAAAGGTGCAAATTGGTTTTCTTCAAAAGACTAACTCGTTGTGTTAACTGACTTTCATTTTCAAGATTCTTTCACATGGGAACTTAGCTAGCTGCTTAGCTGCACTTAGAAAAGTAACAGGCCCAAACCCTGATTTGATAAAGCTTTTCTTTTATAAGATTCCTACCTATATGAGACACAAAAACGGCACAGAAGCAGTCAGAAGAGATTTTCAAACTTTCTAAAAATTAAATTGCAAAGCCCTTCCTCCAGCTGCCTTCCAAAACAGAGGGAAAACAGGGGTCTGTAGCCTGCTTCCATGGGCCCTCACACAGGAACTGGGGATGTTTCCCCAGGGTTCATGTAAGGAAAAGGCAGATTTTCTGCTTCCCAGCCAGGGAGAACGAGGCACAGGTAAATGCTGTGGGCTGTCTGAGGTGGCAGGGCAAGGGAGAAATCCCATTTTCAGCCCTGCTCTCCCTCTGCACTGAGGATGTTCCCACCCTCCAAGGAATATCCTTTCCTTCCAGGCAACCTTAGCTGCATTTCCTTCCTGCACTGGACATTTATTTTGACAAGGCTGCAAAAGCTGGTAGCACAAATTAACAAAGTCTCCCAAAGCTGTGAAACTGGCAGTGGAATGTTCTTCCATTTCCCAGGAATCCACCTCTTTTCAGCTGGGCTTTAACCTTCCCAAGGACAGGGCAGAGGTGTCTGCACCATCAAGGGGATGTGCCCTGAACTCTCCTCCCTCCTCCTGATCCCTTCAAAACATCCCAAGTGCAACAGGTCCCTGCCCCAGAACAGTTAAGACCTAAAAATGTCTTCTCAAAGAGAGAAGAAATCAAATTTTTCTCTTTGTTTGACCCCCCTGCAGGTGGATCTCTCCATCAGGAAGGGGTAGCAAACATAAAACTGGAATTACTACTTATTCCAAAGAAGACCAGATCAGCAAATATCCAATTGCAAACTTTCAGTGGTCCTGACCTGACAATCAGTCTCAGGTTCCCAATAAAATATTTTCTTCTCTTTAGATTTTTGGATTTCAGCACACTCTGCAAAAAAATTTATGAGGGCAGCGGAACCATGAATTAGAGGAATTAAATTAGCAAGCACACGTGTGTGTATTAAAGAGCTGTTCTTCGAGCTGTGTATTTATTTCATCAAGATTTGAATGGGAACCAAGAGCTTTATCCTAAACAGGCACAAAAATATAAGAATTTCCATTTTTTTCCTAAGGCTTTTTTTTTTTTTTAAAGTCATGTGGAGTCAACCGAATTGCTTTATTTTGATAAAATCACATTATATATTCCACACAGAGGCTTGAAATAATATCAAAGTGTCAAAAGAAAACATTTCTTAAAAGTCTCTTTGGAACAAGATTCAAAATGTCACAGGGGAAAAATGCTGAAACAGGCATTCAACTCCTGCAATTTGATAATTCCTCTATTCTCCTCTGGTTTCCTATGTGCATGAAAAATCAGCCTGTTCCTCTGGAAAGCTTCACTTCCAAAAAAGAGGATTTGCCAGGAGCTGCTCTCTCAGAGCTGTGGGTGAAATGTTCCTCTGGTGGAGCTCCAGCTCCCCTGGGGCTGGTCCCTGCTCCAGGAAATGACCTTGGAATTCCAACAGCAATTTTGGGGATGTTTACTGGGACAGGAGGAGCTTCCCCTGGCATCAGCTCTGACTCTCAACACAAAGGATCTATATTTAAAAATAAATGTAAGCTATTTCATTATTTCTTATCTCGAGGTCACCCACTGGAAGTGCTGGACATCAAAGGCATCAAAGGCAAGGCACGAGAGACTCCATTTCTTTGCAGAAAGGGCAAAAGAAGAAATCCAATCAATGAAAGGATAAAACCAGCCAAGACAGCAGCTACCCTTTGACAAGTTGGAAAGCAAACAGGAAGAGAAAACCACTGTACACTGATAATTAACTGCAGCAGGAAAACAATTCTTGCCAGCAGTTGGAGTGATCACATTTCTCTGCTCCTCTCTCTGCTGCAGCTGAATTACACTGAATAGTTCCTGCTATTAAAGGCCATTAGAGTAAAAATTATGCCTGTAAAAATGACACCTTAAGCTCTCATATTTCTTCCCTCCCAGTGATTCAGCAGCAATTTTCCTCCAGTTTCACGTCAGAAGATTTTATTTTATTTCACTTTCGCTGCTACCAGAACTTCCCCCGTGCTCAGCCAGTCAAGCTGGGCTCCTGCTGTCACTGTTTTGGGTGACAAGTGCCCTGAGCAGGGGTGGGTGACACTTGTGTGACAGGAAGGGAGGCAGAGGAGCACAGCACCCACTCCTCAGAGCCCAGCAGGGTTTCCACCCCAGGAATCAGACACAGACAGCTCTGAGTGCCACCAGAAATCCTGGAAGTCACAGCTGGGGCAGGAGCTGCTGGCTTGGTCTATGTGGTGGCCTGAGCATTTAAACAGCTATTTATTCACTGGGAGAAAAGTAATTATATCTGTGAGATTGTCAATAGTTTTAGCCAGAGGCTGGAATAAAGACATGCTCTGTACTCCTGCTCCATTTCAAGGCAGAGCTGTTTTCCTGGGCTCACAAGGAATATCTGGTACGTGCTGCTGTGGCAGCCTGATGGATGAACACAAAATGCAATGCATGCACATGATTAATCCCATGTCCAGGCCCAATTAAATATTAATTCTCTCTATTATCAGTCAAGTTCTTCGCAAATGTTCACTTCCCTGCACCTACAGCGGAGCAGCTGATGTGAAACCTCCTCTCCTCTGCAATGACATTCTCCACTGGAGGGGAAACACAGGAATCCCTTCCCAGAGCTGCAGCTCTTCCAATAAAGCAAAGGTTATTATAAGACTTCTCCTCTTCCTTATCAGACATTTGCCACAGGAATGAATCAGGTGCTAACATGTTACAGGTGGCTGAAAAGAAGAAATCCATCATTTCTCTGCCTTTGGGGCTCTTCTGGCCACTGCAGAAATCACAGAATCACAGGGAAGGGATTTGGGAAGGGACCTTAAAGATCATTTAACTCCAACCCAACCATGGCAGGGACACCTCCCACTGTCCCAGGCTGCTCCAAGCCCATCCAGCCTGGCCTTGGGCACTGCCAGGGATGCAGGGGCACCACAGCTGCTCTGGGCACCCTGTGCCAGGGCTGCCCACCCTCCCAGCCAGGAATTCCTTCCCAAATCCCATCTATCCCTGCCCTCTGTCAATGGGAAGCCATTCCCTTGCCCTGGCACTCTCTTTTCCATCTTCCCCCAGGCACTGGAAGGGCCCAGCTGGGAACCAGTCCCACACTTTCTGCAGCTCCCCAGCCTGGATCTGCCCTGCCTGCCAGCAGCACCACGGGCTGGGGGCCATGGCAAGCAATTCCTGATTTATCCAAGCACCTCCTCAACCCTGTGGCTGTGGAAAAGCTGCCCTGGAGCGCTCAGCTCCTGCCTCAGACCACACCACCGCTCCTTCCTGCCTCCTGGGCATGCAGAAATGGAATTATGGAGCTGCAGGAGATCATTCCCTGCCCTTGGAGGGGAATTCAAGCATCTCCCTGGTTTGCAGAGCAGTTGGGAGCTGGGAGCCTGCAGGCACTTACCCTGCAAGGAGCTCTCAGCTATCACAGACAGACAAATCCACCCCCAGCCTTACTGACAGCCTGGCTCTGGGGGTGGCCCACACTTGAAAGCGTTTGGTGTCATGTGCATATGTAAAATGATGTACATAGCATATGTTGGATCATCCTGGGGCCAGGATGAGACACACAACACTCACTGAGCACTCATACTGAGTAATATTTCACCCCCCCTTAAATCATCTAGGAAAAAAGAATCCAAAAGACAGGAAAACTGGGGAAAAAAGAAGACAAAAGGATGGAAAAACTGGGAAAAAAAGAAGACAAAAGGATGGAAAAACTGGAAAAAAAAGACAAAAGGATGGGAAATCTGAAAAAAAGAAGAAAAAAGGATGAGAAAACTAGAAAAAGAAGACAAAAGGATGGGAAAACATTGGGTGCTACTGTCTCTCTCCCAAAGTTAGGGTGCAAGAGCCAAGCCCTCTGTCAGTGGGAGATCACTGCCCTTGTCCTTGTCCCTCAGGGAATCCAGACTGGGACAGAGCTCCAGCTGAGCCCTGACCAAGTGATGAACCTAAGGAGCCACAATTTCAATTTATTTGCGCCTGTGGAAGATTAATCCAACACTGCTGTTGCTGATATTTCAGTGAAAACAGGTTCTGGCCTCTGTATAACCAGATTTTAATATTTTTTTGGAAAGAACAGCTCTTTCTATTTTCCTTTTCCCCACTGAACAAATAAGCTTTGGGCTCTCGTTGTGCCAAATAAAACAAAGTTCTGCATCGTCGGTCCAGAAAAAGAAAATGTCCTAAAATGATTATATCTAACAAAATTAAATTCTTATTAGAAAAACAACGGCCTGCTGGTGTTGAGATAATTACACTGAGAAAAATGCTAAAGAGAACAGTTAATTGGAGCTGGATAAATTTAGCAGGGAACACAAACAAATGGATGCTGCCAAATGGGGAGAGAGGGGGCTCCTCCATGGTCCCTGTGAGGCTGAGGTGTGTGGAGGGTTATTGGCAGCCAGGGTGGCAAAATAAATGAAATATTTCTGGAGGGTTTGCAAAGCTGAATAAGGGGCAGAGTGTGCCGTGGCCATCTGCTCTGGGATTTTCCTTGATGCCCTCGGAGGTGGATGCTGCAGTGCCTGGGCTGCTGCTGTGGCTGGCAGGGACAGCTCCACAGCTGTGTCACCTCCCAGAGCCCAGCTGGAATTGGGGGCACAGGAATTTACAGGAATTCCATCTGGAATTTGGGGCATTTAATCAGACTGTAAGCATGAATTACTACCAGCTAGCCAAAGTTTAATCACCCTCCCCACTAACAACCTCCCCGTGGTCCTGGGCAGCCAGGGATGCTCCACAGGGCACTGCTGGGCACTGTGGCTTCCTCCCAGCTTGGGAAAACACCCAACCACAGCCTGGGCATCCTTTGGGCACCAGTCAGCCCCTCGTGCCCGTCTGTGATGCCACGGGCAGGGGAATGCTGGCCTGGAGCACCGGGAGCAGGGCAGTGCCCACCCTGCGTCCCCCGGGGCCACGCTCTGTGCCCTGGCACACGATGGCACCACAGGGCTCGGGAGGCTTTACAGCATCACCTCTCCCACGGGCCTGAGCTAATTTGCTGCCCATTAATGGTAATTAATGTTTGCAAACAGCATGAGGAGCAGCTGTCGCTCTCTCCGGGTGCATCTGCCGTGCCCTAGCAGGGATTTTGGGCTGTGCCTGAGTGGAGGATTGTGAGAACCCCAGGCTTGGTCTGGGGTCTCATGTGCTGGAAAAGTCTCTCCTCCAAGCTGTGCTTCCAAAGGAAAACTCCACAGCCTCTTGTTGTTCGGTCTCAAGTCAGTTTATTGCAAGTTATCTAAAAGATTTTCTCCTTGGGCTGCTGTGGTTTGCTCAGAGCTCAGGCAGAGGCACACACACACCCTGACATCCTCTCTGACCCCGACTGCTTCTTCTCTCCTGCCCAGGGCTGCTGCTGTCTTTTATATGGGACATTACGTGTTCCATGGTTACAGTTTTTCCCAATGCCTATTACCTATATTAAATGGTGCTTTTCTATCTTTTATAAGATACATTACGTATAACATGTTTACAATTATTCCCCAATACCTACTACCTAGATTACCAAGTGCTTTTCTACTCTAAACCAATCTGTGAGTGCCAACATCACCAAGAACATGGAGGCGAGGAAGAAGAAGGAGGAAGAACAGGATCAGCCCACTTTCCTCCATCTTAGAACTTCTGACCCCCATGTACAAAGTAAAAACCCCCCTGGACAGGTGCTAAAACCCCACTGTACAATACTAAAAAATTTTCCCCTCTACTTTGTAACTACTTTTACTATCCCATCTAACCCTTTGTGACTGCTTGTTCCACCTTCAAAGTTGGTAACTCATTCCATGGTTCAAACCCAAAATCACAGCTGTTTGCAGCTGCCTGCCAGGGTCTCAAATGCTTCTGACCAAGGCCTGGAACCTCCAAAAACGTCTGAGGGACATTTGGAGTTCCAACAGATCAAAGGACACACTCAGGACTGGTTTGTAGCCCTGGGACAGGCAGGAGGCTGCAGGAGGCAGGCAGGGGATGCTCCAGCTGCATGAAGAGGTGCCAGATGTGCCTCCAAACCCAAACCCACAGGCAGCTGGGACCTGTTTGTTTCTCTCTTGTTTTCTCCATCCCCCAAAGACTTTGAGAAGCAATTGCATTGCAAATTGGACTGCAAATATTGGAAGAGAAAATTGCCTCTCCTGACAGGTTTGCTGTATTTGGAGACTCCGTCAGAGCTTCTGGGTTTGTTTATCTGCAGTGCAATTATTTTTTATTGCGCTGGCACAAAGAATGGGCATGTATGCATAAAACATGCAATAAATGTATATTTCAAGGGTAAATCTCTCTAATATATTAGAATATCAAAGAGATGATGAAAAAGCTTAAGGCAGTGGCAGCAAACTTTGGATTCAGTGAGCCCTGAGATACCTTTGCTACCTTGGAAAATCCCTTTTCCAACTGAGACTGGCAGAGGCTGTCTGCAGTACTGCTCTCCCTGTGTCTTAGCAGTAAAATCCCGTTATTACATGGTGATTTCTCCAGATTTTCTCCAATGCCTTTGAGAATTCAAGCCTCAGTGCTTGTTTCCATCTTTTCCAGAGGCAGCAGTGGAAATGGATACAAGACTTTATCAGATAAAAGTCTTTTCAAACAACACTTTGTGAATATGCTGAAGGGAATGACTTTCAAACTGAGTCTTTAGGATTAGATTAACCACCTAGTTTCCTTTAAAAACCCCTTGAAACTCACACCTGCATACCCTGAAATAAAACAGAAGGCAGGAGATAGATCACTGAGAAATTACCAACTAGAAGCAGCACACTGCCATAAATTCTGAATGAACACAAGAGCAAACAGCTGAAAAAATGGAATTAAGCCCTGGGAAGGAAGCAGCGCTGCCCCTGCAGCCCAGGGAGGGGGGAAGCTGGGCTGAATCATCCTTCCCTCCACAAAAACCTCTCATTCACCCACCTGCTCTGCCCTTTTGGGGTCACCCACCCCCTCCTCCTCACCTATTCTGGCCCCTTCACACTGTTCTCAATCAGAACTCGCTGTGGGAAAAAAACAACCCCAAACCAACTAAAAAATGTCAGAGAAACTCAGGTTAATGCCCAGGGCTCAGGTGGAGGGGTATCCCCAAAGCCGCAGCTCCAAGCCCAGGCTGTCCCAGGACCTTGGGGACAGATGGGGACAGGCAGCAGGAGCTCTGGACATGGGGAGGTCTCCAGGAGGGCAGGAGAAAGGGGGAACCTCCTTCCTGTGCCCCTTACATGGGAGGTTCCTCATCCCCTGCTGCAGAGCTGGGGCTGAAATCCCAATTTCCCTTCTCTCCACAACCCTCTCTATTTAATTAAGAGCCTGGAGAATCAAACTCCAACATTTCAGAGAGCAAGGTCACGTCCAGAGCACGGTGCCCAACATCTGCTTGCTTGGTAATTGGCTCAGAGTGGCAATTTGTCAATGGTTTGAAGATAATGAGCTTCCCATTTGTGTTCCAGCCATCGAAACTTGCAGATAAGGACAGGAGCTGTGGCTGCTGGATGTCAGCTTCTCTCTGGATACAGAACTGCCTCCCACCCCACAGCACTGCTGCCCATCAATACAGAGGTGAAGCAACTTTTTTTTAAGTCTGGCTGCACTCAGACTCTCAAGGTACTGAAATGCCACGTATTTAAATATCAGCTGTCACAATAACAAGAATAATTATGGTTATTTTGGCTCTGTTAGCAACACTAAGTAGAAGTGTTTTTAAAGGTATTGAAATCTCCACACAGAACTAAAAAAAAAAAATAAAAAAAATTAATGAATAGCCAAAATGTTTTCTACTGAGTGTTTATCTTGTGAAAAACTCTTATGGAAGTTCTGCCATTTACCCAAAAATCTGCAGACAGCAGTCAAACAGAACTGCTCACCATAAATTATTGAGGCTTTGGGCTTTATTTCCAGGTGGCAAGAAAAGTTTGAAAGAAAGGCAAGTTTTTAGACTCTCCCAGGAGATTTAGGCTGGAGAAGACCTGTGCCTAATCCTCACCTTGTCACCAAGAGAACTGAGTGTCACATCCGGGTGACACCTCCAGGGATGGGGACCCAAACCTCCCTGGGTGGCTCCAAGGCCTGAGCTCCCTTTCCATGGGGAAATTCCTGCTGGTGCCCACCCTGAGCCTGCCCTGGTGCCCCTCCCTGTGCCCCAGCTCAGCTCCCACCTCTGGGCACATTGGAGGTGTCTTGGGAACAGAACCACGCCTGCTCAGTGCTGCCAGCAGAGCTGTGCACAGAACAGCCCAGCCCCTCCCCAGAAATCTCATCCCATTCCAAATTTCCCCGCCCTCGTCAGGATTCTCTCCAAAACCAGCCACTGGGAGGGATTTATTGCTCTGCTGTTCCAAGCAGGTCCATCTTTGGCAGCTGGGGCTAACCCAGGAGGCAGCAGAGGCTTCCAGCAGTGCCCCAGTGCAGCTGGTACCTGTCCAGGGAGATGCAGCAGAGGTGCAGGATGGACGCCGTGGTCAGCAGCACGTCCAGCGAGGTCCTCACCAGGCAGAACATCTCTCCATAGATCCAATTGTCCTGAACCAGCTCCATGGCCCCAAAGGGCATCACCAGCACCGACACCAGCAGGTCAGCGAAGGCCAGGGAAACAATGAAATAGTTGGTCTTGATTTTCCTGCAAGGCAGATCACAGCATTAGGGTGGGTTCAGTGCAGCAGCCCCCACACATGGACAGAGATTCCAGCTTGAATTTGGGTTTAATCTGCTCCATCGCACCAAAAGCTCCTCTCTATCACACTCCTCACTTTATATGATTGCTCCTGGCTTGCTCCTGGTTTTTAGGGCTAAATATCCACCATTTTCCTGGCCTAAACACATCTTTCTGCTCACCTAGAGGAGGCAAATGGATGCTCACAGGCCTCTGCATGTGGCTCAGCCTCACAGCTTTCACTGGAGACTTTGGGCTGGAGGAGGGGGATTTTATTTTAACTTGTAAATGGAGAAAATCCTTCCAGAAAGCACTGAGAATAATCTAGACTGAAGCTGTAATTTTAACTTGAAGAGTACTTTTTAAATCACAACAATAAAATAGAATTAAATCCATTAAAAATCCCACGCAGCACATGAATAGAGGCAGTTAAATCTCTCTGCTCCTAAGGCTGGGCTGACAATTCCCAGGGTTAGCAGCAGCCTTGAGACAGGAATTGTGCCTGTGACCCCCTCAAATCATGGGCAACATTTGCTAAGTTGTGCTGGAGCTGCACAGCCACAACCAGCCCTTGCTCTGTGTGCTGCTGCTGAAGCTCATTGGGAAATCTGAGATGGAAAAGGGCCAGAGGCCGACCTGTTTCTCCAGGGAATTGCTGCTTGGCTGTGCTTTTCACTGATTTGTCTGCTCTTCTACACCGAGGATGCTGAAAAGGTGAGGATGGGGATTAAAACAGTGCCAGCGCTGCGGGATGAGCCGAGGGCAGGGAGGGTCTGCAAGGCAGGGCCACCTCCCTGGTGACCCCAGCTCGTCAGGAGGGGCTGTGTCCCCTGGGTGGGCTCTCCTGAGCTGCCTGTCCTGGCACAGGGCCACCACGACCAGCAGGTTGCCCAGTCACCACTGGGTACCACGATGTCCATGCATCAGAAACTCAACCCACGACAGATCCTCACTGTTCACCAGCCCAACAGCCTGGCTGGTTGTTCCTCTGTTCATCAGCCCAACAGCCTGTTTTTTTGTTCCTGAACAGCTTTTACAGGCAGTTCAAATACTCCCAGTGCTGCACAGCCATTGGTCTGGTCCCTACAGCTCTCGGACTCTGAACCAGCCACATGTTGTATTTTAGGAGAGCTGTTACTACTTGGAACCTCTTTCAGTCAGCCCAGCCTGGTTTATGGAACTGCATGGATATTCTCAGTTCAGTCAGAGAAAAAGGAGAAGTTTCTATCAGGCTGGGCCTGGGAAAGAGTTGGAAAGGAATGAAATAATTCTCTATCTCTCTCGTTGTTCACATTGTTTATAGATAAGTTCTGCCACCGTGCACACCAATGGTGGGAGATGTTTTTACTTTAAGACCAATGAAATTAGTCTTCTGGATGTTCTTTATAAAAAGAGAGATGTATTTGAAATAAATCAGTTGAGGTGAGTTCTATTCATCTAACCCTTCTGAACTGGAGTTCTTTTGTTCCCATCCTGCCTCAACAGCGACAGAACCGGGCTGGGTTCTTAATTTCTGGCTGGATTAACGCTGAGCACAGCTCAGCTGGTGCTGCACAGCCAGGAGGGGCTGTGTGCCCATGCCAGAGCTCACCCTGGGTCAGGGATGGTTTCATGTGGTGGAAAAACTTCTTCTCCAACCCGAGCTTCCAAAGAAAGGCTCAGCAGTCTCTGTTGTTGGGTCTCAAGGCAGTTTATTGAAAGTTATCTCAAAGATTTTCTCCTCGGGCTGCTGTGGTTTGCTCAGAGCTCAGGCAGAGGCACACACACACCCTGACATCCTCTCTGACCCCGACTGCTTCTTCTCTCCCCGCCAGGGCTGCTGCTCTCTTTTATATGGGACATTATGTGTGACATGGTTACAGTT